CACAGTACATTGATTTAAGTCACCTTGAAATGTTAGCCAGTAGACTGTTTAATTGAAACAAATACGTTCTGACCACCCGCGTGTAATTTCATTTTAATTTCGACGCCAATTTATTAAAAAGGTCAAAGGAAATGTTTGCGAGTTGAAAGAACTCGTCTTTAATTTTTTTATTTGTATTGAAACACCTCCTATGTCTAGTATAGCACCTACAATGACCTACATCATTTTATATTTCTATATCTCTTATCATTTAAATAAAAAGAATGTGTAACGAGTAATACTATACAAAACTTCTGTATACTGTTACTGTATCCATGAAGATAAAATGAAATCTATAAAAAAAAATAATTAAAAAAAAAATCCGCCAATCCGCAGTGGGGCGGCCACGTGGTGGACAATGCCTGAAACCCCTCTGAACAGAGGAGGCATTTGCTCAGCAGTGGGACATGCATCGGCTGTTACTTTACTATTATAATACTGAATATTTATTAAATATTTACAGCACTTCATTCGACGCGTCTTTTTAACTTTTAAACATCTTTTTAACATTTTTGTTGGGACTGAATACTTCATACATAATGTTACTTAGACGTTAAAAGCTAAAAGCTTAATCGCTTGTGATATCCTTTATCATAGCAACTTCTAAATAACATAAGAAAACGCTGCATGTCACGACATCTAAACCTACTTAGATATATTTACTTGACCTAGATTCCAAATCATTACTTATGTGTGCAAATAAAATGCTACATACTCGTAGTGTAAGTTTATAGTAGTCAAGGGAAAACTGTAGTTATCCTTTGAACTATAGCTAACTGTAAACGGTATTGATGAAATCACGGCTGTAAAAATTCCAATAGAACTGTCGATTTTATTCAACTAGAATAAAAAGTTCTTCGTTTTTTTTTACTTATCAACTGTAAGCCTGGACAATACTTATGGAAAATCGAACAAGGTTATTCAAATTAATACGTAATCTATGTTGATAAACGTGTGTGCAAATTTTTCGCTGTTCCTTCATAGTAGGATATGATTTTTTCTTTGTTAAATGAAACTATTTTGCGGATTCTATCGCGTTTAATTAGATTTCCAAATTCCCGACGTTTAGAAAACTTTCCAGCGTTCATGATCACGGTTCTTTACTCGTTACCTCGGACTACGCTCAATAATTTTATTATTTACGTTTATTTATCAATATATTATTTTTCTTTTAATATTCAAAGCGTTCCAACAGTTGAAATTATGTCTATTCTATCTTTAAATGGTCTCATTTTTAAGTACAACCCCAGTAAAGTTTTATTTTCATGTACAATTTTTTTTTAAGTTATTCCTAATTGTAACTGCTTTTGATGAACGGTGCTCTGTTGGTTTAACATTTTCGCTTCGCCTCATCATACAAGCGTGACCGGCGTTTAAAATAGTTTTGCGTCCAAACGGCAACCCTCCTGACCTACAAATGGTGACGTGGTGTACATTGTTATTCGACGTATTCTTCTATATATTCAAGCATGCTCCGCACGTCTTTGGTGTTCACGCAATCGGTGAAATTCGCTTCTTAATTAGGTCTTCCTTGTACCTCGCTGTTTCAATTTAGGTAACTAAGACATTGTTGCTGTCGAATTGTAATAATGGATGTATAAAATTTTAATTGCGTCAAGATGTTGAGTAGTATACCGCTGTTTTATGCCGTCGTGTGATTTGTGGTGGTAGGGCCACGCAGCAGCCTCGGCTGTTGCACGAATGGGCAGGCTCGTCCGGATAGGTACCACGACCTCACAGAAGACCGGCGTAAAGTGGGAGTAGGTATAATACGTTTCGTCTGGTGAGTGAGGTGGCCGGAGCACAATTTTCAAAAGGTTGTCAACATTACTCGGGGGTAGCAGATTTTCATGGGCTGCGGGATTCACTTAACACCAGGTGAACCGTCTGCTCGCTTGGCAACTTTTCAATTAAAAAAAAGTAAAAGTTTTTAGGCAACGTTTGTTAGCCGCACCGGGAAGTTTGAGTGAAAAAATGTAATCCAAACGATGTTAAGATTCAAACTGTGACCTTTTTTTTATCACTTACGAAGACAGTAGAATAAATACCTTTTAGATTTCGGGATGCAACTAAAACGATAAAGATTATAAAATTACTGGTACCGGAAAATTTCACCGCGTTTTATGTATAAAGATAAAAGTACCTGGTGGACCGAGCTTAGCTCGGTATGTTTTTTTTTGTAAATCGTGTATTTTGGAAATAACGTTTAGATACAAATTACGCATAATATTTTTCGATTTTACCGACCTAATAATAAGAAAATATGAAGTGGTGTTTTTCACAAAAGAAAGAACTTTAAAAAAAAGGGAAAAAATATAACAAAATAACAAAACGACAAAAAATAAAAGGTAAAGAAAGCAATGATCTGGAATCGAAAAAAAGTAAAAAAATAAGTGTGTGAATGATCGTGATACGAACTACGGCCTTCTGTTTCGTGGCTATTTGTTAGCGGCCGCCCGATTACCGACCGGGCTATTATAACATTTTTTTTTTTCGGTGAAATTTACCGTCGTATTCGAATGATATTTTTCATTCCCTGAAAACTGGGATAAAACGACATTTTCCTAAAAATGAAACCTAGTCAGATCGATTTTTCGTCCCCGAATCTACGCACATACAAAATTTTATGAAAATCGCTGGAGCCGTTTCCGAGATTCCAATTATATATATATATATATATATATATATATATATATATATATATATATATATATATATATATATACAAGAATTGCTCATTTAAAGGATAAGATTTCACAAGGTCGTTAAGCCAACATCTTTTATGGTGGTTTCGCCGGAATGGGCTAGTTTGACTAGGGAAGTACCACGACCTAAAAGAAAATGGGCGCAAAGTAACCGCTCTTCCTCGTTTTCTTCACACTTGCTTGCTTCTTGCTCACCCTGTTATCCGACGAAATCAACGTCTTTTATCTACATTGTTTTTAACATTTGAAGCAATGCTTGGCGCATCCATTGTAATATCCTTTCCAGCATACAAACAATTTCGTCGTCGGTGTGGAAATGAGCCTATTAGCATAGTGGCTAGTGCGTCAGGAACGCACGAATCCCGACGACGTAGGTTCGATTCCCACAGAGGCGAGAAACTTTTTTGTCCTTTTTTCTACAAATTTTAAAACCTAAAGGGTGTTCTGGGTGGCAATGCGCGGACTACGATGGCCTGTAGCCGACAATCTCCTAGATGTTATTGCACAAATATCTTCATTCGTAACTACTTGGGTGAATCGCTCGTGGAAACTAATGTTTCCATGGTTTCTTTTACCGATGATGCTTTATACGGATGATGCTAGATACAGACATGAAAGCGTAGCACTGTCCGTCCCAATATGACAGAAGACGACAATGAGCGACAATAATCACTTCATAAGGTTGCTTGTTACCATTTTATATATAAAAAAAACACCATTAACATCGTTGTAGCTTTAAAAGGAATTCTGAGTAAAAAAAAATTATGAGATTCTTTAGAGAACATAACTTTTACATGCATTTATAAATTCAGCATTAAGATCTTTCGACTCGATGGATTCGAATTACGATCATGATTTCAACTGTTGTTTTCTTTATGTAATGTGCACTTTGTCTTTGGTAAAAGGTTTACGAATTCAACTAACTGAATCATGTATGATTGTTATTCAACGGTTCTTATCACGCTGTGTGAAACACAACCTGAAGGCAAGGTCGATTGCTATTGCGTTACAAGCCTCGTTAAGCTGTCTATGAAAATGATTAAGTTACATAAAACGTACTTTTCTCTGATTATTGTTTAATATGCAGTATAAATATTTTATCTCATATTATCGCACCGTTACCATAAGTACGTCGTTTGTTTGCTAAGATATAATCTTTCACTTCCCGATATTAATGTGTATATTACGCATGTTCAGTGGTTTTTTGTAGAGCATAACAGCTTCCACTGCAATAGGTCAGCTCAATCGGAGAGTATAGTCATCGCTCAGAAGATCGGCGTTAAGAACGAGTATTTGTACTTTTTAGGTGAGATGAGTGAGATAACTACAACATCGTAGTTGTTGTCGTATCTTTAAAGTAGAAAAAAAAAACATATAGCATTTTGTAATCCGGACGTTCTCTAACAAAAAGGTTTCTTTACTAGAAAACTCAACCAGAGCATTTTATTACTTTCTTTAGGCGTCTTTACAATAATGTACAGATCTGAAATAAAATGACTTATTTTTTCAAAGAATAATGATCGAGAGTTATTTTTACCAGAAATTTATTCTTCGTATTCGCTACAAAAAATGTATTGTCTGCTTGTCGGAACAATGTACCCATACAAATAAGGAGATGCCTTCTTACAAATAAGAAAAATAGAAAAATCGTATAACAATCTCATTACGGTCTCGCGAAAGCCATATTATTTGTCTTTTTTACAAAGACAATGCTACTCTAATAAAACAAGAAGAAGTCTATTTATTGTTTTTTATGTGAGAAGATGGCAAGCGAGCTGGCACGTCATCTAATTGCAACATCCGTGGGGTTAGTAGGCGTTGCCACCAGAGGTCGTAGTACTTACCCGGGCGGACCTGCTTATTCGTGCAACAGCCGAAGCTGTTGCGTGGCCCTACCGCAGTTTTCTTTTCCTTTTTCTCTTAGAAACATTGCCCTTTCTTTAGGATAACATTATCCTGTGTTGTAAGGACGTTTTACAAAAATAAAATTCACTTGGACTAACGCACAGATGCGAAACAACTATCCGTGGGTTGCACAAATAGTGTAGTAGTAGAAAAATATACTAACTTTGATATGTTATGATTTGTGTGGGAGGGGTTGGGTAGGAAGTTCTATCAACAGCTGCGACCTAAATATACACAAATAGTTGTCTCGTGTGGGAATCGATCCCACAACCCCCGACGCCGGAGCCAATACCTTGGCAACTGCGCCGCGGAGTCGTCAAACACTTAAACGGTGTTGCTATCGTCGAGCAGGAGGGCCCGCACTCTACGTTGCCGGACGACGAGTTCTACGATGCCGTTGAGACCGGCTTCGACAAGATGGAGGAGGAGCGGTGCGCGCGCGTCGTGCCACCCGCCGAGCGCACCAGAGACGAGGTGGAGTTGCCGCCGCCCGCCGTCGACAACCGCCTCACCGTCCACCCCCTGTGGCCAGAGGTAGGTCAATGCCCTCCACGATGAAAGACCTCGATCTCGAGTCGAGGCATCCGATTAGTCTCGAATGATCGAATGGCTCGGCAGACGCCGGTAGATTTTTGAATCGGGATTGTGTTTAACAAATGCGACGTATTTCGGGTAGAATAATCGAATGGCTGGCCAGACTAGAGTCAGTAGCTTTTTCAATCGGGATTGTGATCGATAAATGGTATATTTCGGGACTATTTGGTAGAAAAGTTGGCTGTCTGATAGGTCAAACTGTCGCCGCGTACGTTTACTACAAAAGTAGCAGTTATTTTAAAAGTGCATATAAAACGGAGTGACGCATGCACGCCACTGGGATTGAATTCGGTCGTCGACTTGCACGAGGTTACTAAGACACTAATATTGCAATGATACACACATGCGCACAATTTTAGCTTCAATCCTGGACGTCAATTCAAATGACATCGTTCCCCGGCTATACAGCCGTCGTTTTATAAGATGTTCATGTAAGCCAATGCGGCATATCAAGTAACACGGTGCGCCTCCTTGAGCACTTTAGCTGCATCATATTCCCATCAGATGCAACGCACATTTGCTTGCTACTTGTACGTAATTACTTCGTTTGCACGCCACTAAAGGGTCAATCAACCCAATGCTACACATACCGACGCCCCAATTAATAAAACGTAAAGAAATAATTTGCTGATTAAATTACCCCGATGTCGAATTATCCGCGATGCTGCCTCAATTAATTTTAACGAGAAGCTAAAGGTTGCGTTCAATTTTTCGGTATTAGGAAGATTACCGGATCTATTATTATAGAAAATCAATAATTGTTTTTGGTCCTGATAGACTCGATAATTGACTAAGATGTTATGAGGCCAAATTGCAAACAACACGCAAAAGAACGAAAGCTCTTTGTATTTAAGGCAGTCGTTAAGGTGACTATCGATTATTGTTGAAGCAAACAATGAACTATTATATGTCTCAGCCGTTTAAGTTGGTGGTTGAGGCGTCCGGGTGCTATTCCGAAAGACGTGAGTTCGATACCCGCAGCAGCGAAAAATCTTTTGTCCAATTTTTTCTTCCAAATTTAATATTTCGTCTTTGTATATATAGCATGCTTCCGTGACTCCTTTAAACCATTGGAATTGCCAATTTGCTGCGTTTATTTCCTTCGAAGTATGGCGTTTGCGTTTATACACTACCTTAGTTAACTTAGTGGTACCATACGAATCTGATATATAACTTTTTATGTAAAACTTGACGATTCATAAGAACGCGCAAGCGTCTATTTGAATAAACATATTTTTGATTTGATTTAATTTGATTATAATGTAAAACTAACGTTTTTCTCAAATACTTGTCGTTCGCAGATCGACAGGATATCGACAGAGCAGATACAGGCTGCGTTCGAGGAGGTCGGAGGCGGCATTGGCTGGCAACTTTTCGCCGAAGAGGGCGACATGAGGATGTATAGGAGGTAATTGTTTCCATGCGAAGAGTTAGGGTATTTTGTATGTGTATGTGATAGGTTGCCAGGCGAGCAGACGGTTCATCTGATGTCAAGTGAATACTGCCGCCATCTGCTTACATCCGATGTATTGTTGTTGCTGTGTTGAAAGCCTTTCAAAAATGGGCCCCGGCTAACTTCGCTCACCAGACGAAACGATGGAACTAGAGTGACTAGATTTAGCCAAAACTTGGTATTTTTAATAAAATTGAGTCTTCAAGTAGTTAGTGTACGGGACAGTTCCTGTCTCTTTTTAACCCTTTTATTAAACGAACTTTTTGACCGCCCCTAGTATCAAACAAGTTTTCTTAATAATGATATTCCCTTTCAACCTTGAAACACTATGTGTCTCTATAAGCTTATAGCCCATAAGCTTTCCGAAAATAACGTAATGAATTTACGCGAATACAATGTACCGTTAAGTAACGATTAAGTTGATGCAGTGAAGCGTCGGTGACGCACGTCTCACCCAAATGACAAAACCCATAAAACAATAATTGTAATGAAAGTGACTCGTTTCAACTTTCCTTTATCCCAACAGGGAGGTGGAAGTAGACGGAATGGTGATGGACCCGCTGAAGGCGATGCACAAAGTGCGCGGGGTGACAGCGCGCGAGATGTGCCACTACTTCTTCAACCCACGCTACCGATACGAGTGGGAGAGTGAGTCGACTCCCATATAATAAAAGCGAGCTTCAGGCTAGGCGCCCCGATCTGTAAAGGCCTTCCAAGGCCAACAGTGGTAAATCTCGCGAAAAAAAAACGACCCCCATTAGGTGTGGTAGATTCACGCTTTGGTTGAAGTACCGCGACCTCGCAGAAGACCGGCGTGAAGTGAAAGTTCTATACTTCTGTGTTTTGTCTGCTGAATGTGGTTACCGGGGTCCACTGCACAAAAAGGTGGCGCGCGGTTAAAAAGGTGAACTGACGGCTCATCACATAAAAATCTTAAAGTAGGCGCTACTATTGTTGGGGCGTTATCAAACTGAGTCGTCGGGCCATAAACGTCAATTTGATTACGGGATTCTAATGTGCGGTGCTCCCGAATATTTTATAATACGCTACATACACACGTGTGGTCGATGAGTCATTGTGGTGCTCATTACCGCTCGCTTATCGCTTGCTCTTGATTGGTCGTGACATTGTACCGCCGGCGCCGCAAAGTTTTTACTATAGTATATATTGCACACAATGGATAATTTATTTTCTAACTTATTCAACGTTACAAGGTGATATTAGCCCTTAAATTCAGACAGTGACTCACAACGTACTGTTTGAAAATGATCATGTTACCTATCGATATGCGATTATATTCATAACCAGCAACTAAGCGGAAAGACAAAGAAATAATTTATTGCCCGACGACTAGGTTGATAACGCGCCGAGTGTATTTCCCAAAATGTACAAAAGGTGGGAAGTATCGATGGTAATTCAAGTTTAGAAACTTTCTAAACTCATCCCATCACTTTTAATTTATATATAGAACCGAATTTTCGTTACTGACGATAAAATTCGTTTAGCCTAATGGTCCGGTGACCTACATGTCTATCGACAGATACAGTCGTCAGATTCAAAGCATCATTTTTGGGGATGTCGTTCATATGTATATTACTGATTTCTTATTTCCAATCAAGTACTTACGTTATTATTATTTCTTTTATAGTGCAAGAAGGTAAGTGGATTGTTAAGTTTTGTGAATATTGGCTCAATATGGCAAATTTGCAAACCAATAAGAAGTTTATAAAACGCAGTAATCTATTCAAGCAAAAAAAAAAAATTGTGTCACAATTTATTTATTGTTATTATAATTAATTTTCTTCAATATTCGTATATATTAGGTTAGGCAATCAGTTAAAATAATAATTTAAAAATTAATTTATTTCGAAAAAGGAAATCAGCGATGAATATTGCAAATAAAAACACACAAAATACAAAAAAAATCGTCTGGTGAGTGAGGTGGCCGGAGCCCAATTTTCAAAAAGGTTGTCAACGCATCTGCAAACCGTCGGGTGTAGCAGATCTCCATGGGCTGCGATAAATAAATAAATATTTTAGGACACACTTTTACACAACGTTCTCTAGTCCCAAACTAGGCAACGCTTGTATTATGGGTACTACATAACTGTTAAACGTACTTGAACATACTTTTTCTTTTGTAAATTATACATATATAAACACGGAGACACTAGAAAAACACTATGTTCATCACACAATATTATTCCAGTAGTGGGGATCGAAAGCTACGCCATTCGGGTCGTCTGGGCGGTATTCACTTATCAGGTGGACCGTCCGCTTGCGTAACAACTTTCACACAAAAAAAAAAAATCACCAGTCTAAGCGGTAATGTGACCGTCGGCAGCCACGCTGGAGACCATGACGATAGTGGAGGAGGTGTCCTCGGACGCGCTGGTGTTCCACCAGACGTTCAAGCGCATCTGGCCCGCGTCGCAGAGGGACGCGCTGTTCTGGTCGCACGTGCGCGCCGCCGACGGCAACACGTACGCGGTCACCAACCACTCCACCACCAACGGCGATTACCCGGTCAGTCGCCCAGCAGTGCTGCGTGCATTTAACACGCTTTGATTTCTTGTTTTTACGCACGCATTATACACATCATGCGGATTTTCAGTCTTTTTTTTTTTTGTTAACGTGGGGTAAACGCCTACGCATACCCGCCCTCGGGGGGGCAAGAGCGGTTTATCTCGGACACGCACAGAAAACCCCTATGTTCCGACTAGGTGCAGATTGGCACGGCCACGGGAACGCTTTCGCACACTGCTAGCGCTGGCTGCCTCAGCAGACCCCCCCGGGGAGCGCCTCCCCTGTTCCTCATGTAAGGCGCGCTAGAACATTCAGTCCGCCTTCATGGCATGGCCATGGCAGCCAGGAGAGCCAGTGCCAATAGACAATCGCGTTCCAGCCTGCCATGATGCAAAGGGGTCGAAACGTGGGGAATTAAAAATCAAAATTAAAACGCGATAAAACTCGTAAAATAGTTTCATTAAATTATGATGCTTTTTTATTATTAGCCCCACATGAATGTCCATCAATGGTGCCCGCATTTAATACGCTTTTGTATTATCCTTCAGCCTGCATATTTGCATGCACTTTGGTAACTCCGTGGTGCAGTTTTCGATATATTGGTTCCGATAACTACACGGTAATTCATACACGGGACAACTATGTTTGTGACTCACAGATAAGTGTTTCGGATCTGGCTGTTTGTTCACGTGAACTTAATGTTTGTGAAACGTCCGTTTAACGTTGTGAAGCGTACAACGCAGGGTAAGCGCAGGGTAAGGTAATCCTACAGTAAGGGCGATGTTTAAAAAAAGTATGTTTGTAAAGGAACCTTCTAACGCTACTTTAATCTACATATAAACGACAGATTAATTTGCAATTTTACACAGTTATCGAGGACCGATGACAATTCAATAGTTTGATAAGCTACGTGTAAAAATGTAGCTAACAAAGCTTTTTAATCAAATTCAAATTCTTACGATCTATTTTTTTTAAGTTATGATTTTTTTAAGTTTTTGCGCTGCAGTGAAAAGTTTTTGGTTTATATATTAAGTTCACTTGTTCGATAAAACTTTTAGATCTTTAGTCCGTATCCCGGAGGTGGTCTGAGCTCTCCTTACTGCCGTAATCCACTATCGCTTCACAAAGCTCTAGAGCGAGACGCGGTCGTGTTGTCACATCGCGTCAGTAGTGAGGCGACACGCGATAACAGCTTACGCAACCGGTTTCGCGGTCAAAATAACGGCTTATCGCTTCCAGCCGAACGCCGGCGCGTGCATCCGGCTGTTCGTGACCGTTTGCCTCGCGTGCCGCAGCACGTGGCCGGCCGGCGAGACGCCCACCAGGGATAACGTCACCACCAGCATCGCCTACTGCAGCACGGGTCAGTACAACAACACCAATCAATCAATCATTCATTCGTTTATTTGCCATCTAACGCTCGGTTTCTGAAACACTGATCATCGTAGATGTCAACTAATCAGCTGTCAAATGGATTTCAAATACAATTTAGGTACCAAAAGGATGGTTAAACTCTCTGAATTGACCAGAATGATCTTCTTAATGATCAGAATGATCAATTCAAAGAGTTTAAACAGCCTTTTGGCAACTCAAATGACATTTGAAATTCATTTGACAGCTCATTAGTTGACATCTACGTTGATCAGTGTTTCAGAAACCGGGCGTAATAATCGTAGAAGTTAACTAATCAGCTGTCAAATGGCTTTTCAAATGTCATTTGAGTTGCCACTTATAATAAATGATGAAAGAAAATATTTATGAAAACGTATTCTGTAGTAAAGACTTATGTAATTTTTCGATGGACGTAACTGGTCTTCTAATTGTGACAATCATGCATTGTTATTGAGTTTTGTTAAGTGCAAGGATCCAGCCAATCCGAAAGATCTTTCGGAATATGCATCGGTTATTACTTATTAGTGAAAAATTTAAATACATCGGTGTAATTTTAATTTGAATGAAAAAACAAAAAAAATGTGCTAAATGTATAGGAAATTGAAAAAAAAATGAATCAAGCCAAATATTAGAATGAAATATTTGACGTGAATTTTTTCTCGTTATATTATTCTAACATTTGTGAAGAAGTAAGAATTAAAAATTGAAATTAATTTTTAACTGCCCCTACTGTACATATAACAGAATTTAGATCGAGTGCTATTATAGTATATCAAGATATATTTAGTAGTATATTATTTATAGCGAGTAGGTTCATTTATTACAAAGAAAGAGTGCTGGCGTAGTGGCTGATATGTCAGATTAGCGACTAAGGATCGCAGTTTCGAATCTCAGGGGCGTGTAATAGATATTTTGCATACATACATACACGTGATCATATACATATACGAGATCATATAATTTGTAGAAAAACGGACGAAAAATTATTCACCGCCGCGGGAATCGAACCCACGCGTCTGGGCGTGGATCCGGATGTCGTTCGTTCATTATGTTTACTGTTTGATTTTCCAGTGAATCCCGGCGGCTGGGCGCCGGCGGGCGTTTTGCGCGCGGTGTACAAACGCGAGTATCCGAAGTTCCTCAAGCGCTTCACGGGCTACGTGGTGGAGCAGTGCCGCGGCAAACCGCTCGCCATCTAGCGGCGGCCGAGCGCAACAACAATCCCTCAGGAGGCCCTCTAGCGGGGCGATCGTGGGACTAACTGACGCCGAAGTAAAAGCGCGCGCAAAACTTAAAGGACCTGTGCGAAGTTAGACATCAGTGCGCAGTGAAGCCCGTCGGTAGGGATGCGACGTCGTTCTTAAAAATATCGATGTTCCGATAGCAACGATGCATCGATGTTTTTAACATTTAACACATAACGCCCATCAAACGACGTTATATGTAGTCGGAGATATTTTAATAAACACGGGAACTAGATCAACATGTTCAGTACGAATTTAAGTATGTAGTTATAACTATGACGTAATTATACAACGAATATACCACGGTTTTTAATCAATTACCTTACCAAACTCTCGATATTAAAAAAATACGAAAGTTTCGAAATTTTTCTTAGGAATTATAGAGGAAAAGTGTATGTATTTAATATGAAACACATAAAAATTATTATTTGTAATGTAAAAATTTTCAAATGGAGTTTAGGAAAGGAAGCTCAGAGAATCTAGCCCCCCAAAGGACCATAGAAAAGACACTAATGATCTCTATTTTTCCACGATGTATCCTTCATCCAAACATCGATGTAAAAACATCATTCATCTAAACGTCGATGTATCGTTTGCATCCCTATTTGTCGGTTCCCCGTCCTGTATGGACCATTCTGATTTTAAGAGAGGCTGATGTATAAGCGCGTGGAAAACTGTTTGCGTTAAAGTTGTTCGAGTCATCGCGCAGTACAGTTTATACGTGTACAGTACAGTTTATACGTGTACAATCGGGGACAACGTCTTTGTTCTCGGTTTTGTGAATTTTTAGGTGTACTAAACTTTTGCCTTTGACAGTACATGTGCAGAAATCGGTGCGGACGCACTAAGTTTTTCGCGACCTGTAAAGCTTTAGAGTTGTAACAAACTTTCACTGTCCCACAGCCACTAGTGTGGGAAAAGAAAATGTCCGTTGCTGCCTTTCAAGCGAGGTAGTAAAAAAGATATCAAAAGCTAAGCATATCATAAAAGTCTATTCCGTTGGGAGAAGGTGGATCTTTAACTCTATGGCGCCACTAGAAGCCTTCTACGAGAAGGTAATACCGCTTTCAATGATTTTATCTCTTGCCCCAATATTCGTTGAAGTACAGTCGCGAAAAAGTTGCTATTGAGTTTTGGTGAAGTTTTTTTTTAAATATCAAGCGTATATGCCCTGGACACATCACGCTTAGAACTCGCGAAGCTAATTTCGCTTAGGTGTATTTAAGTTTTGCGCGGCGACTACAAAGAAGTAATCGACATGTTATTTATTGTACGAAGATGCTGTATTCACATGGCGTTTAATATGCGAGCGGATTGGTGGTTTAATTGACAACGCTAGCCATAGACAATCTTCCCGCATATTATAACTGCATCCGCCCACCAAGTGTTGACAGTGTATAAAATATTGTTGTATAGCATTATTATATTTTTTATCTGTACCCTGTTCACTAAAGGAGAAATAAATGTTATATCTATGCATAAATGAGTGGGGGAATATCGCACTCGTATTGCACGTTAAAACTCAGGTTCATAATTTGTTTTATATTTTTTGTTACGTATGTTATAAAGAGGTATTTTATTGTACTGGATGTATGATATAATTTACAAGGTCATTATTAGAACCTTAATTGTAGCACAGGGGTAAATGTTGTTAAACATAGTACGCGCTCATTGAAAGAGAAAAGTTTAAAAATGACGTCATTACGAACGTCTTCCATCTCTTTCGTTTACAGTACCTGCATAGTAAACAACATTAGATTTTACTAGAAGATAAAAATTTTAAAAGTATTTTTAATATCGTAGTATGTCTGGTGAACCGGTTGCAATTTTTATTTTTGTACTTGAAATTCGTTTGTCACATGTCTGCCTCGTATAGATTAGTTTTTTTTAACATAACACAAATGTTATCTAAACGAAATCTAAAAATAAACTTTCTGAAATTATTTTTTTTAAATTACACTTTTAATTCTTAAAGTGTGTCGCGTAATGCAAGGTCCTATTTATCTTATATTCGTATTTTTAGTCTTCAAGAGGCTCCCAAAGAATTAATGAGAAATCCAAACTATATTTGACAAAATTTTGTGTTTTATAAGTCCTCATTGCCTTCAATTGTCGACTGTTAAATATCAAAATTCAAATTGACAGAGAAGACAGGTACAACGCAGCGGTAAAATGTTCAATCCACCGAGGCAACTATGCCACAAGATAAATGCTTCTTAAGCATTCCCATCCGACATAAAGCCAATATAAAATACGAATTAGGCACACGACAGTCCCACTTCGTGTACTTAAGTTTTACGGGGTTTTCCCGTGAAATTCTTTTAACTATACACTTTATGACCTCTGTGTTAAACCGCCTCACCTATCCATTGAATTGTAAATAAGATTTGTTTACTAGCGATTTTATATAAGCGGTGTTGTTATAATAACTTTATATAATATATCGTTTCTGTTCAATTTTTGTTGTAATACACAAATAAGCTATAAGGAACAGGGATTGCTGCGTACAATGAAAGCGTTTGGTGGAATCTACTGTCAGAGCTTTACTTCATTCCAGTTTTTAGTGTTTACGAAAAATATTGTAGGTTTTATCAGAAAAGGGTTATTAATCAATCAAATACCGAATTTTCTTAAGGTTTTTGGAACTGTTTGTATCGTCTTATGTCATTTATTTATATCTTGCGTAACGATGTTCCAGGTTCTGATTGCATTTATGATAAGGCAATTTTGAAATTGTAATAAAGCATATAGAGGGGGTCTGGGAACAGTTGAGATTTATGCGTTCACTCTAATTGTTGGAGACCGTCATGTTTCAGGTAGCACTATCGACTGTGACTGTATGTCTCCGACCATTAAAGTTCACGCCATAGAAGACTGTTATTGGATTATCTGTATATAATATAAAATATGTTTTTTAATTATTGTTTATAATAAAATGTTTTATGATAATATACTTTTTTTATTTTCTTACAAATCATTGCGCGATAAACGTGTCACGTTTAGTAAAGAACGTCAAAGCTTAGAAACGGTTCCAAAACCGAGCTGCCAAAATTCTAGGTCATCATCGATCCTAGGATCAAATCAACGTATTGAAAATAATAAGAACACCAGAACAATTATCTATCTAGTGAAACTGAACCGACAAACCACAGAGCCGAAGCTTTTTTTTTTTTTTTTTTTTTTAAAAAACATTGCCCTTACCTTAGGATAATATTATCCTGTGTTGTAAGGACGTTTTACAAACATAAATTTCATGCGGACAAATACCCAGATCCGGAACAACTATCTGTGGGTCATACAAATAGTTGTCCCGTGTGGGAATCGAACCCACGACCCCCGACGCCGAAGCCGATACCTTGGCAACTGCGCCACGGAGTCATCAATAACTTAACTCTGAGCCAACTGAGATAAACCTCTGGAAGTACCGAGGTTAAGACTGGCTAAAACCACAAAAACGTTTCTCGGTAGATGCATCAACTTTTATAATAAAATAGGTGACATCCACAAATAACTAAGTATAAACAATTTCAAATAATTTGTATGATGTCCAAGAATACATCGAGGACAAGTATGTGTGGAAATGACTCTTGCTCTGCACTTGCCAGATCCCTGGCTGCTGCTGATTTTATATTTAAATAAGTTTGTATAATTGCATCACAAAAAAAAAGAACAAGACCGCAGATTTTCTTGCCGGTTCTTCTTTGTTCAGGTCTAGTTTAGTGAGCCGGCGGTAGTTTTTTTGTTGACGTTCAATAAGAGCTTAAGTTAAGCCTATTTATACATCTATACAGATAAATAAAATTGGAGTGTCTGTTTGTAATATTAAAATAACCGCTTTATACTAAATGCATATGGATGTTTACACGATACATATGCCAAAATATTTTTATTTACAATTTTTGTCTGACTGTCTGTCTGTTTGTTCCGGCTTGTCTCTGAAACGGCTGGACCGATTTGGACGCGACTTTCACTGACAGATAGCTGAAGTAATAAGGAGTAACTTAGGCTACTTTTACTTTAGATTTTTTTTTAAATTCCACGCGGACGAAGTCGCGGGCACAGCTAGTATTGAATAAACATACATTGACTTTGATTTTCACTTTGAAATAGCACAACTCCGCTCATCGTCCGCTGGTTTCAAAGGTTGACCGTCGCGGTGATATCACGTGGCTGGATATTGAAATTAAAAGAAAGAAAGGAAGATAAAGATTGTTTATTTGGCACATTTTTTATTTTTTAGGTGAAATGCTAACACTAAATGAATTGATTGTTGTCATTTAAATCTCGTACGAGGTGAAGCTTCATTTATTTTCTTTATAATGTATATTTTATAATCTATATTTAAAATACACTTCTGTTCAGCAAATACCATTATGAAAGTTAATGACGTTTCATAAATACCATATAAAATTATTGAATACGAAGGCATCTTAATTAATGTCTAATTTATTCCGAACGGATCTGTCTAAATGGAATGTGTTGGAATTCGAAATAGAGTGCGTGACCTTGAATATAAAAATCATATCGTATGAAATATGTAGGTACTACCTTTATGTTCAACGCGTGAATGACCTACAAAATCTCACTAAAAAATAAGCTGTCATAAGTGTCGTTTCTTGTTAATAAGTGCCGTATTTAATCTAGACGTATATGTAATCAAAGCTGCTCATGTCACTTGTGATAATTATGTTAGTTTTAATAAGCCAACGATAAGTATTAACAAATACAAGTTTCGTTTCATTTTAAGTCATTTTTAGTAATTTTTAGTCAAACAAGCTGATAATATTTTTTATGTGAGTAGGTGGAATTAACGTTTTGCGGTTCGCCTTATTTTAATTGTTATCTGCCACCATGGACATTTGCAACTTCCGTAGGATTGCAGATGCCTTGCCACCTTTTGATAAAGTGGGCCCCGACTACGCTACCACTCACCAGACAAAACGCAGAAGTATTACACTTCCACGCCGGTCATCTTCAATTACATTCAATGGAATCCATCGAGGAGTTTGTGGTCCGGTCGGCCCGTCGCATGTACGACAGGGCCGACAACGGGCCCTCCACGCCCGCCCTCCTGACGGGCGCCCGCTCCCACGAGAGCTAATGCGGTCGGAGGCCACTGGGGAGCCGGACCTGACCCTCACCACCGACCAGCCTTTGCTGGTCGAGATTATGTCCGAGGCATGAGGGTTACCCCAACTCGATAAAAAGCAGGCCTCGCGCTAGCTTTCGTACATCATCACAGTTAAATAATGACGCTAATGTTCTCATAATTCAAACAAAATTAGAAAAGCTCTACTCAAAAACTATACGGAAAAGTTATTTATCTTTTAAAACCTGAGAAAGTTCATCAACGATTGTGAATATATATCATCACAGTTAATCTTGGCATTGCCCATCATATCCAATGAACAATGCTAAAAGCACATTCTATTTTTACATGGGGTACGAAATCAGCAAGTGGGATGAAACTAAAGTTTTTAAGTTGTTTGGTAACAAGATTAGGTTAATTTTCAAAATTTTTTTGAAGATCTCTTCTACCAGAAGTCCTAATCTATATGGAGCAAAAATTACATGCTTACATAAATCGATGATTATTCTTTGTAAAAAGAATGTTTTCATTACAACAAGTTTTCAAGTGCAGTCGTGTTTCAATATCGAATAGCCGTCAGAAGAGAATCTTGCGAGAAAGCAATTGAGGCAACACTGTTAGTACAATTAACTTGTATCCAGTAGAAAGAAGGAGTATTGAAGAAGAAGAAGAGACTTAAAAATATGTAGATAAAACAGTCGCAAAATTTATTTTCGCCATTGATAGGATTCGAACTTGTTCCTTCCGAATTAAGTTAAGCGCAACTAACCTGAGCGGCCGAAAGTCGCAGGAAAATCGATGTCTTATGTACTTTTGTTCTTATTGCGTTTGTAGCAATGCTTGTCATTAACTAATATGATTCCATTACAGCAAACAAACTTTTACAAATTACATTTTTACGATGGACATTTGAAAATTAAAGATGTCGTATTTGCTATGAACTTTATTAATTTAAAATTTTTAAGTTGCACCTTGAGTGCAAAGACTAGTAATAAAATTTTTAAATTAAATTCGGGATGGATGATTGCAAGTCGGTTGCCACCTGTCACCAACTTGCCTGTCATTTCATAGCCAAATATGCTCTTTAATTTTCATAATAAAAAATCTCATTATTTGGTGTAAGGTGAAAGGTGGAAAGGTTTTGTATAAAAACAATATTAAGTAGGTACCAATAATAACTGAAACTGATTCCGAATAACGTAAGTGATCCTCATGAAATTTGTATTGTAATATTTCTTTAACATGAGAAAGGTGATCTTGATATTTAATTTTTTTAAAGCAGTATTTTTAATTTGGTAGTTAAAGAAAAATAAAAGATAATATCAACTCTAAAAATAATAAAGCTGAGCCATACACCTCAGTTAAAAACCTTTTTTTATATATATTTATAAAATTACCAGTACTATGGCAAGAATGAATAAGCTTTTACATAGTTTACTTTTACCATTCACAACTTTAGAATTTGCGGTGGAAGACCTGTCTCGATACGAACCTCGGGGTCTATATCTCTATGGCTTGGACGTCCATGGTACGTAAAGTGCATCCTGCCTAGAGGAGAGCGGTGCAGAGCTAAGATTTATAGCCTGCAGCGAAGGATGGCCATCAGGATCGCACGAGGATATCGTACAATGTCCTTCGAGGCAGCCACTATCCTAGCTCGGTTTCCTCCAATGGACATACTGGCAGAGATGGATGCGCGAGTTTATACTCGCCTCCGTCATTCGCGGGAGGATGCCGAGCCCCTGCATGCGGGAGAGGTGCGGAAGCAGGAGCGCACTCGCGCGCTCCAGGTTTGGCGCAAGCGGCTGGAAGAGTCACGAAACCTGCGCCAGCGAGTTGTAAGCGCGCTCCTGCCGAGCTTCGAAGCCTGGCTAAGTGCAACGGGGTATGCGCACGTCACCTTTCGGCTGGCGCAGGTACTCACCGGCCACGGTTGCTTTGGTGAGTACCTAAATAGAATTGGACGCGAACCGACGGCGAAATGTCACCACTGTGGAGGTGATCTCCGCGCAACATACGCTCGCTGAGTGCCCTGCGTGGGAGTCCGAACGACGGACCCTGGTCCGGAGTATCGGGGAGAACCTTTCTCCACCAGTCGCTTTGGCCGCTGCGCTGGCGGAAAATTCTGCTTGGCAGGCACTGGTCTCCTTCTATGAAGCTGTTATGCTCCAGAAGGAGGTCGCCGAACGGGAAAGGGAGAGGGTCGACCCCGCTCGGAGACGGCGGCGCCGAGCCGGCAGGGGCAGACGTGCTGCCCCTACAGCCCTGTAGTTCTGGGCTCGTAGAATAGGACTAAGGCGTCTCCTGCCTGTCGTAAAAGGCGACTAAAAAGGGACAAGAATGGGAAGTAGCACGAAGTGGTCTCGTGTTGCTGCAAGAGGGCGAGGGCATCGGCCTCGTACCGAGGGACACCGGTGCGTTCCGTTGGAGATCCCGGAGTCCCTCCAAACGTACAGAAGGTGGCCACCGAGGGGGTTTTAGTGGGTAAGAACCCCACATAACCCTGTCACAGGGTATCTTACGAAGATTTCTCCCCCGATACCAAAAAAAAAAAATGAGGAGAGCGGTATTTTTCCCCGAGGAGTTGCTGCTGAGGCAGCCAGCTGTCGGGGACGTTGATGTCTTGTGACAGTGTTACTGTGTGTTCAAGTTGTAAGTGTGTAAGTTTACAGTATATTATTTTTTAGTTTTGTTGATCTACAATGTAAATGTTTCTTTCTTTATTTCTAATGTTGAACAAAGATGTCGTCTAATGAATTAGAGTTTGTAAGGAATTGGTGATATTTGTACCAGACATGGACACCTGAATCTTAAAGTGCGAGGAAAAATGATCAAAGCAGTATTTGGGCAACATGCAATTTTGTGCAAAAAAATACAATTCAATCAACTTCAATAAAGTATACCTGTTCCGTACTGGAACAAGAGTAGTTTAATTCATATAATTTTATATTCATTCTAAACATACTTAATAAGATGACACAATTTGGAGTATCTGAATGCTATTTAATTATTATAATTTTTTCTTAACTGGGTTGGCGATCAGCCGTTATGTCCGAATTCAATCCTTAACGTGTGAGTTACGGCTACTACTAGCGCCACACAAACTAGCGGCAGTCGAGTCAGTAAAAGATTCGATTTGCTGTCATCACCGCGTACGCACCGAAGTTTTTTGCATGCTATTACAATATATTCTTCTCGAGATCTCTTTCACCCTGGAAGTACTGTGGTCAGTGACCTATGGACCCTTGTGCGATATATTCTGCGGGACTTTAATATCTGCGCTGTGCCGACTTGCCCGGGCTCTCTTTAGCCAACTCCAAGACACGAGGTTGCAGGAGGACTGCTGCGGTAAGTCGCCTAAACCCAGTAGAATATCGTACATAATTATTTTTGATCATTCGAACCGGATATATATACATAAGTACTCCAGTTTGTGTCGTCTTGTTCAATAAATATTGCAGTATTACGTACTCATTTCAAGCGGTCGAATTCTAGCCGGCCATCTTTGTAATGCAAAATGTCGGACGACGAATCGCCTTGTGAACAAGATATTTTCGAAAGAGATCTAATTATTGACGAGTTAAATCGCATTCTGCAGCTCGCCGCGATAAATGAACAACAATTTCGTGCGCGAACTACCGATTTAACGGCTCATCAAAGAAAATTCAATAAAGTTCAAACAAAGATTGAAAAAACGCGAATTAAATTAAAATCATTCAATAGAGAGGACCAGATTAAGATACGTAATGATTTTAATGATTTGTACTATTCCATTGTTGCACATTTAAATGATATAAAGAAAGGGGATGAACGGCGAAGTCGTTTGAGTCACTCTCGTCAATCCTCCGATGCTATGATGCTAGCTAACAGTAGAAAAACACTACCTATTTTACCATTGCCAGAATTCAACGGTGATCCTACGGATTGGCCGTCGTTTTATGATTTATTCCGTTCGTTAGTACATAACAACAATGCCTACGACGACGTGGAAAAGTTTAGATACTTATTACTTACAGTAAAAAATGAACCTCATAATTTAATTAAGTCTATACCTATATCAGACGAAAACTACTTGGTAGCCTTAGATATTTTAGTATCCCGCTATGAGAATAAAAGAATGATTGCATCAAAACATCTTGATCGAATATTTGATATTGAACCTTGTTCCGAGAGGTCGAGTGCTCATAGTGTGCGAAATTTATTGAATATTTATCAAGAAAATATTAAGGCTCTCGAAGTTATGAATTTTCCTATAAATCAATGGAGTTTCATACTACTACACATTTTATTGCGTAAAATTCCGGTTAATACAAGAAAAAGTTTCGAACGGTCATTGTTAAAACCATCGGAAATTCCCGACGTCAACATGTTAATTACTTTTCTAGAACGAGAAATAACCGCCGATGAAATTGTAACAATTTCAAACTCCACAAAAAAATATTCGGCAAATGTGGGTAGTTCCGTACAATACTCGAGTCGGACCAACAGCGCGGGCGCCGCTGGTTCGATATCTACCGCTCGACGTTCTTTCGCGGCTAACTATAATCCGGCTGCAGAGCATACTCGCCCCAAATTCAATAGCAATAAAAGTAAGAATTGTTTGCGTTGCAACGGTCCACATATATTATCTAAGTGTTCGCAGTTTCTTATGGTGCAAAACAAAAACATTTGTAATAATTGTTTAATCGTCGGACACGACGTAAAAAATTGTAGATCGAATTTTGTATGTCGTTTTTGTCGTAAACAACATCATAGTTTAATTCACTTTTCAACGCAGTCGCTATCGGTCATAAGCGAAACGACCATTCCTAATGCCTTCCCACTCACTCCTTCGGAGGAGCGTAATGGCGTTATCACTGCTGAGTCCTCTCACGTCAAATCTGCCAATGACAGCGTGGTGCATAATAATTGCGCGTCCAATGCGCCTTTGCTTAGTACGAGCACGATTTTGTTGTCCACGGCGCTCGTCAATGTATGTATCGGGGAAACGAACGTATCGACTGTTCGATGTATTGTTGACACGGGTAGCCAAGCGTCTTTTATCACTGAGGCTTGCGTTCAACGTTTAGGTTTAGTACGTAAACATATTAATATTTCGGTTTTCGGTATAGGTGACACCGAACCTGTACAACCTAAAGGCTTAGTTTCGTTCTTTATCACTCCTAAGGGTAAGAACCAACCCGTTCTGCCAGTCGATGCGATAATTTTACCTGCGTTAGTTTCAAAAATGCCAAGTGTACAGTTACCCTTTACGGGGTGGTCACACTTAACAAATATAACTTTAGCTGATCCCAATTTTCATATTCCTCAGCCGGTAGAAATGTTGCTCGGAGCGGATGTACTATCCCATATTTTGTTAGGAAACGTGATTACCGGCCCACCGGGTTCACCAGTAGCGATGAATAGTGTGTTTGGTTATTTATTACTGGGAAAGGTAATAGTTGAGCCGATTGTTCCAACCTCACTCCAAGTATGTTATAGCTCGTTTGACAACGACAATCTTCAAAGGTTTTGGGAGCTGGAGTCATTTTCGGAAAAGCGGAGTTACACTCCCGATGAAGAGCTATGCGAATCCTTTTTTCAAAAGACGCATAGTAGGGACGAGGCTGGGCGATACGTGGTCGCTCTCCCGTTCAAAGCCGATCCACCACCTCTTGGTGAGTCGCGACAAATAGCACTTGCGCGTTTGCGTAAGCTTGAATATCGACTAGAACGCAACCCCCAATTGAAAGCTGACTATCACGCTTGTCTCCAAGAGTACGTCGACCTGAATCACATGGAGCCCGTCGACGGACAGCCTACAGCGGGTTCTAGTTATTATATTCCGCACCACTGCGTGGTCAAGGAATCCAGTGAAACAACTCGCACGCGCGTCGTATTTGATGCGGGTTGTCGAACTACGAGTGGATCGTCGCTTAACGACGCTTTACTCATCGGTCCTAAACTTCACTTGGACATTATAGATGTACTTTTAAAATTTCGTGTTCATTCCATTGCGTTTACTGCAGACATTAAACAGATGTACCAGAATATACTTATTCGTGAATGTGATAGGGACTTCCAACGTATCTTATGGCGCCGATCGCCAGAAGAACCTATACGTGACTATCGACTTTGTACAGTCACATTCGGCGTGAGTTCCTCTCCATATCTGGCTCTGCGAACAATAAGGCAGCTTGCTCACGACGAGGCCGATCGCTTTAGGCGCGCTTCTCCTGTTTTGTTAAATGACGTTTTCGTGGATGACATAGTTTCTGGCGAGGACACTGAAGCTAAAGCTCTGGCTCTCCAGCAGGAATTAATCGGTATATGCAAGACGGCCGGGTTTGAACTACGTAAGTGGCATAGTAATTCGCCAGCGATACTCGCTGCACTCGTGCCCCAGGGTTCTCATGGTGAGCGGCCTGAAAATGTTTGCTTTGCTAAAATGGAAAATGACGAAAAGGTTAAGGTTCTTGGGCTACAGTGGAATCCGGCGTCCGATAACTTTAATTTCACTATTACTATTTACTATTATTTCAAGGTTCACGTCACCACTGATAAATGCACCAAGAGGGCTATTCTCTCCGAGATAGCTAAAATATACGACCCGCTCGGGTTATTATCACCGGTTACTTTGTATGCCAAACATTTAATCCAGCTGTTATGGATGGCTAATGTGGGTTGGGATGATATTCCGCCCCATGACATTGTTAATTCGTGGACATGCTACACTAAGCAATTACCTCTCTTATCCCAAGTTTCGTTTCCGCGTCACATATTTCGTCAAAATACAGGTTCTATTCAAATTCATGGATTTGCAGACGCTTCTGAGAAGGCATATGCAGGATGTGTATAAATACGCCTTATAAATAAGGATAACTTTTTCTACATGTTTTAATGTTCAATCTTAAGTGCAGAGATTAGCACTATAAAAAACTTTAAAATTTATAAAAGCAATGGCGACATCTCTTGTTCGAATTATCGTTGCAAAACGATATTCGAAATTGTTTGTATGCTGGAAAGGATATAACAATAGATGCGCCAAGCATTGCTTCAAATGCTAAATAACAATGTAGAAAGAAGGCGTTAACATTTTCGTCGCTGTGGCTATCAGCCGTTTAGCTCAGTGGCTAGAGCGTCAGGTCGCGAATGACGAAGACGTGGGTTCGATTCCCCGGCGGCGACAATCTTTTCGTACTTTTCTACATGTTTTACTATTTAATTATTATTATTTTTTCTTAACTGGGTTGGCGATCAGCCGTTATGTCCGAATTCAATCCTTAACGTGTGAGTCCATTCCGCTTCGTGCTTCCACACGGAACGGACGTTAATCTGAGCCGGAGGGCCCATGCCAACCGACCCGGAAGCCATCTTGCAACCGTTGTTGCTAATATCATTTCTTTTATCTCTCGGTGTGCACTGCTTGCCTCATCGTTGTCGTGTTTCGCGGTCTACGGTTAGGGAAGTCTCAAGCAAGAAGAGTGAAGAAAAATTATAGAAGAAAGAAGAAACGTTACAGAAGAACGAATAAACTTTGCCCGACTGCCGAGCGGATAGTGTTAGTGTAGTGTTGTGCTCGTAGGCAGATTCCTGTCCGTAAGTAGAATTCTACACACATTTCTCGTCTCAGAGGCGGCATTGTAATTTTATCTGTGTGCTTGTTGCATTAGGCGACGGCTAGGTACTCACCCTAGCGCACCTAAAGCGCAGGCGATTAAAGGTAAATTTCAGGCACACACCTCCCTGCCGCAAGGTGGGGAGGCCTATCTAGAAAACACACGCCGGCGGGGCGCAAGCCCCAAAGGCACAAGCGTCTACATGGGTTCCCTCTTAGAGGAGTTCCTTCGACAGGAATGCCCCGAAGTATGGGCTAAATATTTAAGTTTCGCGAGGGAACGACGCCTTGTCGTCGAATTCTCCAGCGACAGTCCGGCTTCACCGGCTGCCGCCTCGCCGCCATCTCCGGTGCCCTCTGCGCCAGCTATTATGTCGCCCTCTGCGACAATTAATACGCCCGTCGCGTCGACCTCCGCCGCCGCGATCGATCTTAACGCGCCTTCCGCGCAATCCATTTCGGCCCCCTTCCGCGCTGTCGTTCCCGACTCACAATCGGACGGCGGCTCAGACATGGAGGTCGAAACGACCCCCGCTAACAACGCGAACGCCGACGACTTCACCGTCGTCAAATCGCGAAGAAAGGGCAAGAAACGCCCCGCTACCGACAGCGACCCCGAAAGCGAGGCCGCCCCGTCAAACCGTCCCACCGCGACGCCCGCCAAAAAGGCAGCCGCGTCTGCCCAGTCGGAACCGACATTCGCCTCCGAGCGAAAAATCAAGCCACCGCCGCCAATAATAATACAAGATAAGGCAAAGTGGCACCAGGTTTGTTCGTGGTTTGAACGCCACAACATCCGAGACCCCCGGTCCAAGAATACGCATATGGGTATCCGCGTATACCTCGATTCTTCGGACGACTTCCGTCGCGTAACAAAGTACTTGCGCGAAGCTAAGGTAGGTTTCCACACCTACTCACTACCCGAAGAGCGCAAACTTCGGGTCGTAATTAAGGGCGTTCCAAAAGAGTCGGATGTCGATATGGCTAAGGTCGACATCCGCACTCAGGGATACCCGGTTCACGCCGTGCGTCGTTTCAGGCACCCTCGCACCCGTGTCCCTATGGACATGGTCATGGTGGAACTTGACCCTACCCCGGAAGGTAAGGCCATTTTCAACCTTAAGAGGGTCTGTGGGCTCAGTGATTTAGTCATCGAGCCCCCACGTAAATCAGGTGTTGTGGCACAGTGCCACAACTGTCAACATTTTGGCCACACGGCCAATAACTGCTTCGCTCACCCAAGGTGCGTCAAATGCACCGGTGACCACGGCACAACCGAGTGCACGAGGCCGAAAGATTGCGCAGATCCACCGGACTGCGTAAACTGTAACGCCACCGGCCACCCGGCTAGCTACAAAGGCTGCGCTAAGGCCCCGAAAACTCCCGCGAGGAAATCTCCCGCGAAATCGACGTTGCCCAAACCCGCGCCCGTCAGATTTATTCCCGCGCCCGTATCCGTCGTAAACGCCTGGGCGAAACCCCAGGTGGCCGCGCAGGTAACCGCGCCGGTAATCCCGGTCGCCTCACGACCGATCGCGCAACAGCTGCCCGCCTCTCAAACGGCGCCGCGGCCGCAGGTGCAGCCAATTTCGTCAGTTTTCGCGGAAAACAAAGACGACCCATTCGCGCAAATAGCCAACATTTGCAGCTTATTAGATAGAATAAATAGGCAGGAACTCGCCGTATTGTCCGCTAAAATAGCGGCCGCCACATCTGGCCACGAGCGTCTTAGGGCAATTAGCCACCACAAAACGCTTGTGGAAGCCCTTTGGGCTTTTACGAGCCAACCATAAAGAACAATAGTCCGCGCAATAAAACCGCGCTCCGCCGCGTCGTTAATTAGACCCATAAAAACACCTTAATGGGAAGTACAACCGCAGGTAGAACAAAACCTCGGGCTCTGGTTGTTTCGTATTTCAACGCAAACGGCATAAAAGGTCAAAGGGATGAAATCGCGGAATTCCTTCGCGATTATAACATAGATATTTTCCTAGTGCAAGAGACATTCTTGAAACCTAGTGTACGCGATCCCAGAATCGCAAATTACAATTTTGTCCGCCACGATCGGTTAGCAAACCGCCTGGGAGGCACACTAATTTATTATAAACGGTCCTTGCACTGTTGCCCGCTCGACATTCCAGAGCTAAGTCAAATAGAGGCATCCGCGTGTAGGTTAGCGCTCACCGGCCACAGGCCGCTTGTACTAGTCTCAGCCTACCTCTCGGGGAATAGAACCCTCCTTCAAAGCGACCTAGATACGCTTCTTAACTTAGGCCCTTCCGTGATAATTGCAGGAGATCTAAACTGCAAACACGGCTCATGGGACATCAACAGCATCCCAAACAACAACGGAAAGCATCTCTTTAGCTTATCCGATAACCTAAATTTCAGTATAGTCGCTCCCGCGACTCCCACTACGGTGGACAACTACCAGCACGCGTCACCGAGTGTCCTAGACATAATGTTATTCAGGGAGGTCTCGCTCGACATCGAGTCGATAGAGACAATCCATGAACTAGACTCAGACCACAGGCCCGTCCTGTGTAAACTGAGCCAGAATGCCGGCCCGGTCCCTCCGACCAAATCCGTAGTGGACTGGCATCGTCTTGAGGTCAAACTCAAGGCCTTGGACCCCCAGGACTTAGTAGACTTACCCGAGACGATAGCTACGTTCGATGACGCAAATTGAGCGATAGCGAGTCTCCGCGAAACTATCACTTCCGCAGTCACAAACTCGGAACGGACGGTGAAACTGTCGGGCGACCGGCGGTTTAACTTTCCGCCCGACCTGCGACTGCTAATTAGACAGAAAAATGCAGCCAAACGCGCCTTCGACCGATACCGATCGGAATCGAACCGAACCCTACTTCAACGCCTTCAGCTAGAAGTCAAAGATCGTGTATCGGAACACCGACACACAACGTGGGACACTCTCCTAGAGGACATCGAGCCATCGCACACCGCCTACTGGCGGTTGGCCCGCAGTCTAAAAGCAGACCCCCGCGAATCTCTACCGCCGTTAGTTAGACCTAATGGCGCTTCAGAAGCCCTAGATGACTCCGAAAAAGCCGAATGCCTTGCGGACAACCTAGAGCAGCAATGTACGCCATCGCGCGAACACACCGATTCGGTCCACCTAACGGAGGTGGACCGCGTAATCGAGACTAGGGCTGCGCTTCCACCGGAAGGCGAACCTTTAAATTCAGTGACCCCCGAAGAGGTCCAAGATATTATTAAAAATTTAAAACCAAAATCCGCCCCGGGCCCAGATAATATAAGTAATAAGATTCTCAAAGCTCTCCCTGGGCCGCTTATCTGTTTACTGGCGACAATTTTCAATACGCTTCTCTCCAGTTGCTCCTTTCCGGACGACTGGAAGCAAGCCACGGTTATCGGCATTCGCAAGCCGAATAAACCAGCCAATAAGCCCTCCAGCTATCGTCCCATCAGCCTCCTCAGTTGTCTGGGGAAGCTCTACGAGCGGCTATTGTTAAACAGGCTCAAAGAGCACGTATTTTCCAACGGCCTTCTGCCAACGGAACAATTCGGCTTTCGAGCTAGACACTCTTGTCCCGATCAGCTATACCGCCTAACGGAGCACATCCTAAAAGGCCTTAACCACCCCAAACACATTAGTACAGGGGCTCTCTTCTTCGATGTCGCAAAAGCATTCGACAAAGTCTGGCACAACGGCTTGCTTTACAAGCTGTACACACTCAAAGTGCCAGATAGGCTTGTACACACCATCCGGGCCTTTTTGTTGAACCGCTCTTTTCGATATCGAGTCGAGGGCACCCTCTCCACAAGCCGCCGCCTCACGGCCGGCGTACCACAAGGCTCCTGCCCCTCACCCTTGTTATTTACGCTCTACACGAGCGACATACCTAGAGACCCCCACGTCAATCTCGCGCTTTTCGCGGATGATACGGCGCTCTTTTACTCAGATCGCAACCTCAGCCAATTAACAACTCGACTCCAAAGCGCCGCCGACCGACTCGGCGATTGGTTCCGCAAATCGAGAATCGATATTAATCCAGAAAAAAGTGTGGCGATTCACTTCACTCGTAGCACCCCCAACCCCCATCCGCCACACCGTTACAAAGGTCCTCGCCAGTACAGAAAGTTGGGGCAAATATCACTATACGGCCAAACTCTCCCCTGGGAGAAAACGGTCAAATATTTAGGAGTCACTTTCGACTCGCGTATGACTTTCACTACGCACATCAATCAAGTCCGAAATAAAGCCGCGTTCGTCTCCGGCCGGCTACACAATTTAACGAATAAGCATAGTAAAATGCCCTTAAGGCACAAATTACTGTTATATAAAGCTTGCGTAAGGCCAATCATGTCCTACGCTTGCATGATCTTCGCACATATAAAACCTACGCGCATTAACAAATTGCAAGTAGTTCAAAGTAAGTTTATCCGCCGCGCAATCGGTGCGCAATGGTATCAGCGCAACGTCGACCTGCACAACGATTGCAGACTCCCGACGATTCGCGCACATTTTAAAGATTTGACAAAACGGTTCTTCGATAGAGCCCAGCATCATCCCAACCCTCTGGTGGTAAGCGCAGCAAACTACCAACCGGACACAAACGCGAACGTAAACAAGCGTCGCCCGCGAAACGTCCTCATCGACCCGGTCGACGAAGAGGACTTAGATACGATGGACCCACCGCCGGGGGTCCCGCCGGATAACACTACACCCACAGTTAGTGTAACAACAACCACACCAGTTCGCCCTCGCCTCCGAGCACGGCGAGACCCACACAACGCGTACACAAGGTACACCCGCGTTCCGGGGCGGTTCTCACCGCTCCCAGCCACCGATTAGCTAAATGCACAGTCGACGGCCGTCGGGGTCTCGGTCCGAACCGGCGACCTCGACGGCCCTTAGATGACACACCATAGTAGTTAAACGCACGCATGAGCACATGCGCGACCCTACCCATAGCGGAGGGTCCAAACCCGTGGGTTCTGGCTAGCCCACCAGTTCTGCGTCCGATGAAGCTTTAATAGTCTCGGGACTGAAAGGAAAAACATCAGTTAATACAAGATACAAGATAACGTGTGAGTTACGGCTACTACTAGCGCCACACAAACTAGCGGCAGTCGAGTCAGTAAAAGATTCGATTTGCTGTCATCACCGCGTACGCACCGAAGTTTTTTGCGTGCTATTACAATATATTCTTCTCGAGATCTCTTTCACCCTGGAAGTACTGTGCTCAGTGACCTATGGACCCTTGTGCGATATATTCTGCGGGACTTTAATATCTGCGCTGTGCCGACTTGCCCGGGCTCTCTTTAGCCAACTCCAAGACACGAGGTTGCAGGAGGACTGCTGCGGTAAGTCGCCTAAACCCAGTAGAATATCGTACAATACCCTAA